CCCCCCAGGGACACGGAGGATCAGACCTGCTTCCTGGACCCCTCCGTGGAGGCCCCCCGCCCCAGGGCTCTAAAAGGCTCCCAGGTACTAAATCTCTAGCACTGGTTTTCAGCCATTGGGCACAGCTGGCAATTCCTGGCTGTCCTGGATCTCACTCTGTAGCCCAGGCTGGCCTCAAACTCACAGAGATCCTCCTGTCTCTGCCTCTCTCAGAGATCCTCCTGTCTCTGCCTCTCGAGTGCTGGGATTAAAGGCGTGTGCCACCACTGCCTGGAGCCTGGAGACATTTTTAATTGTGTGGACTTGGTAGAGGATGCTATGGCAGCGGTAGGTAGAATCAAGGGGGTACTGCTAAGCACCCTAGAATGAACTGGCCGTCATTAGGAATTCGGCTGATGTCCAAGTTTTGAGGATTTCCTAAAAGCACCTGAGACTCAGTTTGAGCACCTGCGGCCTAAGCACTGAGGACCCGTGTTTGGGGGGAGGGGGGAATCTCATGAGATTATGAACCTCAAAGAATCCAGCTTCACCTGACTCTGCTCCACTAACCATAAAGCAGGGAAGTAAGTGCTCATGTTTTCACAAATGTTTGCAGCAAGCTCCCTCAAGAACAATCAAATACTGTTGTAATTATCTGAGTCAACCATGAAGTCTAATTGCATGCACTCCTTGCTCTTTGTGGATTCCTTAGTTATGCTCAGGCCTGAGCTTAGCCTGATTGGCCCTTTCCAAGCCAGGTATGTGCCCACAAGGTGCCCTCTTCTCCATCCCCCACCTCACTGCTGTAGCCTTCGTCTTGGTCTTGACTAGATTTGGAGAGTGCCCCACCTAGCATTTTGGCCTGTTGTCTCTGTAGGGATGATTTGTGGGACCCCAGTTTTTGGTGTGATGGACAACTTAAATGAACCAGAGTGGACCCTGGGTAGGAGAGAGGAGACCTACACCTCTACTCTCAAAATGGAGAAGGTTGGACTTGAGCAGAGAAGGAGACGCTGTAGTCCAGTGCCGAGACCTGGTGAGGATAACAGCATTATTGTCTCCAAGAGGCCAAACCACTTGCCAAGACTTGTGGCAGAAGACCCTGAGGATGGCTCAGTCTTCTGCCTAAAACCAGGAAAGTGTATCCAAGAAGATGGGGGGACAAACCACACATGGATGTGGGTAAGCCTTCGTTTACAGCCTTACTGCCTTTGTGAGAAGAACATTGAGTGGGAGGGAGGGTGGGTGACTTGCTCCGGGAGGTAGGAGTGAACTTCATTTCAGGGATGCCTATGGGTTCTCAGCCTGTGTCAGAGGTTGTGGTTAGTACCCGAGGATTGTGAGCAGAGCAGGCTATGGGAAGGGGCTTCGTGAAGGTTTACAGAGGGGAACAGAGAGGATCAGGGGAGAATTGAGTCCTCTCAATTGTTCCAGAGCAGACCGTCCATCAGGCAGAGTGCATCTTGGGAAAAAGAAGCCCTATTTCTAGGTGTGACTCTCCCCCAAAACAGCTTTGCCAAGAAGATGACACATTCTTGCTCAATGATGGGAGGGCTAGTCTTCCTGTATTGAGGAATGCTTGGGTCTTAGACCGCCCGGAGTCCCAAATGTTGTCTAGAACCTTAAGCAGCCCCCACAGCCTCCAGGCTCTGATCCCCTTTGGTCACACAGGGATAAGGTCACCTGGTTTTCCTTCAGTTTCTTCTGCAGCTGAAGAGCCAAGGCCTGCTCATCCTCAATTTTACTGTTCTGCTGATTAATGTCGAACTCTTTCCTGGAGTAGAAGGGACATGTGACTGATGATCTTTTTTCCTCCGGGCCTGTTTTTCTTTTATTGCTTTATGCCAGAACCAGCCCCCTGAAATCCTGGCCCTGACACTGATGGTGCGGGGTGGGGGGG